CAACTGAAGAACAACCTGACATACCAGTCTCTTATCAACAGAAGAAGAGAATGATCAAATCAATCAGAATGCCACCGAAACTGGCACAAGATGATTACCATATTGTGGACAGACCAGAGCAAGTCATTATCCTTCGCCTTAGAACAGGGCACAATCGACTTCGCTCCCACATGTACAACAAATTTAAGATTGGCCAATCAGCCATGTGTACTTGTGGACTGGCACCTGAAACAACAGATCACATCCTTCAAGACTGTCCCAGATTCAACGCTTTCAGGCAAAACCTTTGGCCAAAAGAGACACTTGTGGAAGTCAAACTTTATGGGCCGCTTAGTGAATTACAAAAGACAGTGAAATTCATACTAGAGACAGCTTTGCAGATATAGACAATTTATTTCATGCGAACGAAAGAAGAAGAAGAAGATATATCAGTACATTACCACCTGGTGCAGAACCAGCCAGTCTGTCTTCCTCAACACAACTGCATGAACTTCTGATTCTGCAGCACCCGCTGGCCAGTCTCTGCATTCACGGCCTAATGAGATTACAGCTCTACACAAGTCTGGTTCTTGCTGGGACACTTTGACTCACTCCTCCGCTCTCCCAAATTTATCAAGCCTGCACACACGTCTAATTTTGTCTTCAGCTTGTGCCATCCAAGGCCTTCTTCTTTTCAGTCTGTGACCCGTAGCTCTACCCAGGGCTTCATGCAGGAGTTGCTTCTTTCTGCAGATACTCTGAGATATGACTTTATTTGCAGAAATTTGAGCCTGTAATAGTAAGCAGTGCAGGTATATATATCACAAATATATTACCGGAGTATCTATCTCTTATACATCCCAGAATTACCCTCATGACTTCATTCTGTATGCTTTAAAGTTTCATCAGCTGACTCTTTGTTACAGTAAGCATTCCAAGTCCATAATCTATCACTGACAGCATCACATGTTGGAGCCTTGTAAACAGCATTCCTTGTTCCGTGCTGTTTGCTGGCATGGGAAATTAAGGCATGCTGCTCATCAGATCACCAGTCAAGTACCGATTTGTCCTTAAAATTATGCTGGTACCATGTACCAAATGTGCCGCTAGCATGAAAATGGCTCTTCATTTACTAATGTTGTGACTGAACAGACCAGGCTACCCCCCCCCCCCCCATAAACTTATAAAATGCAGCTCTCCCACTTATAAGTTTAGAACCAATATGTTCTGTTTTCATTATACAGGGACCAAAGCTGCGTCACTGAAGATTTTCTTAGTATTTGTGGTGGTAATAAATATCCCAGAACATTCTGCAACAAGTGCGTATACAATATCTCTTCTCTGTTAACTGTTATTGTGTTGTTGTATTATGTAGCTTATTAAATATGTATGTTTATTCAGGGATTTAAGACTGTCTTAACTTGGAAGAAATTAACTCAAAAAGAGAATGCTTCTTTTTCTTCTGTGTTCACTAGCTGTACACTCCAGTGGAAAGTTCTGGTGGTTTATCCACTTCTAGACTTTGGTCTTGTTCCAGAACTTGAGTTTTGCTTGTACATCAATTTTTTTACAGACCTGAATTATTGAAGTGCAGACTGTTGGTTCATCGCCTCTCAGACAGATGTACTCTGACTTCAGAGGAAATGCCCAGATTAGTTGCTTTTTACAATATGCTTGTTGAGAGGGGGGGGGGGGGGGGGGGCACTAGGTCTACCAGCACTACATGGCTGGCACTGAAATAAGAATTTAAAATCAAAATCAACAATGCAGACTGTTCAGTAGAAGTCAGAAGTAAACTGGAGACTGTTCAGTAGAAGTCAGAAGTAAACTGAAGACTGTTCAGTAGAAGTCAGAAGTAAACTGAAGACTGTTCAGTAGAAGTCAGAAGTAAACTGGAGACTGTTCAGTAGAAGTCAGAAGTAAACTGGAGGCTGTTCAGTAGAAGTCAGAAGTAAACTGGAGACTGTTCAGTAGAAGTCAGAAGTAAACTGAAGACTGTTCAGTAGAAGTCAGAAGTAAACTGGAGGCTGTTCAGTAGAAGTCAGAAGTAAACTGAAGACTGTTCAGTAGAAGTCAGAAGTAAACTGGAGACTGTTCAGTAGAAGTCAGAAGTAAACTGGAGACTGTTCAGTAGAAGTCAGAAGTAAACTGAAGACTGTTCAGTAGAAGTCAGAAGTAAACTGAAGACTGTTCAGTAGAAGTCAGAAGTAAACTGGAGGCTGTTCAGTAGAAGTCAGAAGTAAACTGGAGACTGTTCAGTAGAAGTCAGAAGTAAACTGAAGACTGTTCAGTAGAAGTCAGAAGTAAACTGAAGACTGTTCAGTAGAAGTCAGAAGTAAACTGGAGACTGTTCAGTAGAAGTCAGAAGTAAACTGAAGACTGTTCAGTAGAAGTCAGAAGTAAACTGGAGGCTGTTCAGTAGAAGTCAGAAGTAAACTGAAGACTGTTCAGTAGAAGTCAGAAGTAAACTGGAGACTGTTCAGTAGAAGTCAGAAGTAAACTGGAGACTGTTCAGTAGAAGTCAGAAGTAAACTGAAGACTGTTCAGTAGAAGTCAGAAGTAAACTGGAGGCTGTTCAGTAGAAGTCAGAAGTAAACTGAAGACTGTTCAGTAGAAGTCAGAAGTAAACTGAAGACTGTTCAGTAGAAGTCAGAAGTAAACTGGAGGCTGTTCAGTAGAAGTCAGAAGTAAACTGGAGGCTGTTCAGTAGAAGTCAGAAGTAAACTGAAGACTGTTCAGTAGAAGTCAGAAGTAAACTGGAGACTGTTCAGTAGAAGTCAGAAGTAAACTGGAAACTGTTCAGTAGCAGTCAGAAGTAAACTGGAGACTGTTCAGTAGCAGTCAGAATGAAACTATCTATATCAATGCAGAGTTTAACTGCACGTACACTCCATGACACAGTGACAACAAACAATGAAAGTAAACATGTCTGTCTCTCTGTTTAACCCCTCTGAGCTGCTACCTGTAGGTTTGACCACACCTGTGAATTCAAAAGTCCCATTCTACTAGGCAACCATTCTTGGCAAATCGTCGATACCATATTCAACCTTTAGAGAAGTTATAACTGGGTCACCCATAATCAGTACATTCAGTGTTACCTCAGTGTACTCTGCAGTCCTGTGCAAGTGGGGATTGAATGTAAAGTAAATAAAGGACTCTGTTCATCCCTCTCTGGTGCATTAGGTATAGAGTGCTAGATCTATATTTTTGTAAAGACCAGTCAGCATTCAATGGGTGATGTGGTCAGTATCTTATCACCCACCTTTACTTCCCAGGACATTTCCTGGTACCCATTTCTAGGCTGGGTCAACTTGGGGGGAGCCAAGTAATAAAAACCTGACTTGATACTGGCAGAATAAGTAAGCAGAGATTTTACTTTTTGTTAACATACTCGTGAGCTGTGATCCATTTTGCATTCATTAAAGAATGACATAGCCCTTATAAAGGTCTGCTGGTTAAAGTTTATTTATCCCTTGCTAACTCAAATGCCTTGTGTATTTTCATGCCCAAAATGTCTCCAAATCATGTGTCCACCTTTACGCTGGTGTACCCTTGCCTCTTTTTTCTTATCTTTACGGAGCCATGTCTTCCAAGCCATTTGCCTCATGAAGGTTATGGGTTAATTTCACGGGCATGCTGTTTGGTTCACAGGTGCGATTATTTTTTTTAATGGAGATTCCCCAGAATCATCGCTGGAGCTAGAGTTCTTACTGTGTTGTACACTCTTGGCAGGCAGCTAGCCATTCTCGGGATAGAGAGATCAAGCCACTTGGGGCAATAAAGTTGATTATTTCCATTGCTACACTTTCTACGCCGCTGCAGCTTATACTTTTTTTTAATTTCCTAATATTTCAGGAATAAATGTACTATTACAAATTTGACCACTATTTTATGTGAAATTCATGATATAAATTATTTTTAAAAATGATAAAAATGTTGGAAGACATCAATGTAGATGGAAGAAAGATCTCAGAATAATTAAAAACATTTACTGGAACCAAGTAGCAGCAATTAAAGTGGGAAACAGATTGGGTACTTTTGGACAGATAAAGCAAGGCGTAAGACAGGGATGTGAATTATCCCCAATATAAACAATTTGCGCTATGCGGACGATGCAGTTTTGAAAGCTGAAAATGCAACTGATTTAGAACAACTGCTGGATATTGTAGGGATAGAGAGTGCTAAGAAATGACTTTCATTAAATATAAAGAAAACAAAAGTAATATCAAAGAAGAAGATAATTTCAGGTTGTGATGTCTCAGTTGAAGGAAAAAGGCTTAATAATGAAGTAATTAAATTTAAATATCTGGGAAAAATTCATCCATCAGATGGAAAATGTGTAACAAAGATTAAAAGCAAAATAGGTCAAGCTAAAGCTGCATTTCAGAAAATGAAAAATATCTTATGCAATAAATTGCTCTTATTTAATTTCAGAAAGAGGTTGCTCAAATGTTACATAGAACCTGTTCTGCTGTATGGCAGCGAATCTTGGAATGTCACTGAACAAATTAAGAAGAATTTGGAAGCAACAGAGATGTGGTTTCTGAGACGAATGTTACGAATACCTTGGACGGCCAGAGTAACTAACAACGATTGTTTGAAAGAGGCTAATGAAAGTAGATCTCTATATACAACAATAAGATAGAGATAACACTGTTCTTTGGCCACATAATGAGAAGAGAGACATTGGAGAACATCGTGACAACTGGAAAGATCAGTGGAAAAAGGGGTAGAGGCATTCCAAGAGAGATGATGCTGGATGGGCTGAAACGATGGCATGGAAGGATATAATCACGAGAGCTGTTCCAGACAACCAGGGATCGTGATCTGTGGAGATGCTTGAGCGCCTACGCCAGTTGGCAGGGAACATGATGATGAAAAAATTATTTATAATTATATCAATATTGTGTGCAACATTCATCACAGAAACATATAAGACCAGTATTATGTTTCACATTCATCACATAAGCATACAATTTATGATTTGACAAGATAATAATTTTATATGTTTTTTTTTCCAGTCTGTAAATACAAGCTAATAGAACCCTCCCCAAGTTACGATGGCTACATCACCAGTCCTGGTTATCCATCGACATACTCATCTGACCTTTGCATCATTTGGGTCTACTACGGCTGGCCAGGATTACAGGTCACCATCAGGTAAAAGTCCAAATTTGAAGAAATTGGCATTATTACTTCTCGTCCTTATAAGGATGAAATTTTTGGTTATTTGAAGCCCTACTCTGGCTCTTGCTAGGGGCCGCAATATGGCCTAAAGGCTGAACGCGGTTTCTGGGTCCTCTCCACGGTGATCTTCACCCGCATGGTGGCACATTGTGTCATCGGGTGTTTATCGCCTGTGTGATGTCCCGGTGGGGTAGAAAGTCAGTCAGTCATTTGAAGAAAGAAAAAAGACAAGAAAACAAAATGCTGATTTCAAGTAAAATGTCTGCCTGTTTGAATACCTGATTTTAGTCTTGTTCCGGAACTTTAGTTTTCATGCACATCTGTTTTACAGATCTGACTTATTTGTGGTCTGTTGGTTTCTTACCTCTCAGGCAAATGCACTGCCTTTGAAGGATGCATCCTTAATCAGTGGACTCCTATGACACGCTTGTTAGGGTGACAATGGATTGATTCTTTTACCACCCAAAATAGAACCCTGGGCATTAAATGTATGATAAATAGTTGGACATTATTTGTGTGTAGGACATGGATAACATCAGATGGAAGATGCAAACTGAGATAAGAAACTGAATAGGACAGGCAAAAACTGCATTTTATAAAATGAAGAACATCTTGTGCAGTATATTCTTGTCATTGAGAGTTAGAAAAAGAATTCTTGCTTGCTACATACATCCAGTATCAACATATGACTGTAAATCCTAGACAATCGGTAGGCATTACCACTGTTCTATTGTTGTTGTTTTTAGGGGTGAAACCAGTTAGAGATTATGCGGTCCACCTCTGGAATGTAGAAACAGGATTTGGATTTGTACAAATAAAAAGAGTATGGTGATCTGAGGGAGGAGGTTAGGGCATTTAGTGGGTGGGGTGGTGGTGGTGTAAGTTTGCAATACACATTTTTAAATAATGCAGACACAAAAAATGCATTGCACAATTTATTGCAAGGCATATTTTTTTCTTTTGAAGGGTTACCTATTGAACATTATTGCCTGAAAGAGGCTAATGAAAGTAGATCTCTATATTCAACAATAAGAAAGAGACAAGCACTTTTCTTTGGTCACATAATGAGAAGAGAGACTTTGAAGAACATCTGGACAACTGGAAAGATCAGTGGAAAAAGGGGTAGAGGCAGACCAAGAGAGATGATGGTGGATGGGCTAAAATGATGGCATGGAGGAATATCATCAAGAGAGCTGTTCCAGGCAACCAGGGATCGTGATCTGTGGAGACTCATGAGCGCCTACACCAGTTGGCAGGGCACATGATGATGATGATGAATTGAACATTCAGATTCATGTTACATTAGGGCCTTCCAAACACTCACCTTTCACGCAGTAATTGTATTTTATCTATAAAGCTTGTTGTGTTCATGTAATGATTTACGTAATATGAATTTTAAGTAAAATACTCAAAAACCTGGGTGGTATATGCATAAAGGCAGGCGCACAGACAGCCATACATACAGGCATATAGATACATGTCACGCGCATATACACACATACATATATTTATATATATATATATATATATATATATATATATATATATAACGTACAAGGTACACACACACTCAAACGAATACACACACTCATACATAAAAAGTAAGCTGCGTATCCTTTACAGGACGTTGCAGAACCAACCCCAGCATTTTTTTTTCTAGGCAAATATTAAGTTCAGTAGTTTGCCATTGCTCATACATGCCCACGAATAAACTGTCATATGTACACACACACACACTCACATTTGTGAATAACCATACATTCACATATGCACACATTTGTATATAACCATACATACATACATACATATATGCTCATAAAACAGGGATGGAGACGTGATACAGAGAGAGAAGGAAAGAGGGAACAAGAAAAAAACAGAAAGGGATGGAAGGAGCAAAATAAAGAGATATAGAAAAAGGTTTTATTTTAAAATACATTTCTTAAAATCTAAGCTATGATGAATTACGGCGTTTTCAAAGACTGAAATGTCTCTCTACCAGGTTTCAGGATCTTGACATCCCAAGCTTCTCTGATGCCTGTTTGAATGATCAATTGAGAATCGGTCCATTAAATGAGCACACGTATTGCAGCAGCGCCAACAGACAGAACTTTGGACCCTACACAGCACAATTCAACAGCTCAAATTATTGGTTATATATTGTTTTCAACAGCACTGAATTTGGAACGAAAGGCAGAGGTTTTAAAATAGAGTTTCAATTTTGTGAGTACTTCTGAAATATGCCATAGTTAGATTGTTCATCATTAGTTGCTGCACTTGCTCTTCATTGTTACTTTTTCTATACAGTTCTTTATATCATCATCATCATCATTCTGATGCGGTTTATGTTGCCCATGGGCTTACAGTCAGTAATATGTATAACTTGATTGGTTATAGCACTTGGGTGTCCATGGGATGAGTTACATACAATAGTAAAAAAATGAGACAACTTGGCATGAGTTGGTTACTTGTTGTCCATTAAAACATCCTAGCACACGTGTCTGACTCATTTGTGCTCCGTTCTCTGATGCAGCAGCCGTCTCAGTGTTTACATGCTGAACCTACCTAGTAGGAGCATGAGTTGGTTACTTGTTGTCCATATCGACATCCTAGCACACTTGTCTGACTCATTTGTGTTCCGTTCTCTGATGCAGCAGCCGTCTCAGTGTTTACATGCTGAACCTACCTAGTAGGTGCATGAGTTGGTTACTTGTTGTCCATATCGACATCCTAGCACATCGGTCCGACTCATTTGTGCTCCGTTCTCTGATGCAGCAGCCGTCTCAGTGTTTACATGCTGAATGTACCTAGTAGGAGCATGAGTTGGTTACTTGTTGTCCATATCAACATCCTAGCACATGTGTCTGACTCATTTGTGCTCTGTTCTCTTATGCAGCAGCCGTCTCAGTGTTTACATGCTGAACCTACCTAGTAGGAGCATGAGTTGGTTACTTGTTGTCCATATCGACATCCTAGCACATCGGTCCGACTCATTTGTGCTCCGTTCTCTGATGCAGCAGCCGTCTCAGTGTTTACATGCTGAACCTACCTAGTAGGAGCATGAGTTAGTTGGGGGCTTATGCTCCATTTAAGGAACAAAGAAAAGAAGGCTTGCAATTAATTCTGTGTTCATTTTTAGTATTCTTATATTTTGTTATTTTAAAAAAATATGATTATTTAATTAATTTCCCGCACTCTGCAAAGGTTATTAGGACTAAAACTGTGGACATATGCATCATCATTTTGCATAGTTCTAATTGTATCTCTTAGTCTTTACCATATATTTATTATTTTATTTCCCACCTAATTTTTCTTATTCATATTCATATGTTAGAGACTGTTCGCTTGACCCAAGAACTTGCATTTGTGCCATCTGTTTATGCACACAAATCGTTGCATACCTTTTTATTTAACTTTATCCATCTGAAAACTTGATTTGTTTCTTAAAATGTCATATCCCTTTTACAGTTTTGTCATTTGTTCAGTAACTTCTACTTCTTGTTCTATATTTTCCCTTATAACTGTCAGTGGTACATTGAAGTGTGGTTTACGACCAGAAGGTGATATCAGTGTTTTCCGGCACTAACACATCAGGTTTCAGCTAAGATCTGTGCAAGCAGGAGATGAATGATAAAGATAGTGAGGTAGATTCATGGGAACACAATGCCATAGACCATGTTGTGTAGAGAGGGCAAAGCAAGAAGGGGATGAGAAAGGATGATAAAAATTATTGCAGAATGGATGAGAGATGAGCGTCTGAAAAGAAACAGACTTAATACAAATGATGGCAGCAACACGTCTGAAATCCCGTGCTATAATAATGAAAGTCTTTTCCTAATGCGGTTGGGTTCTACTAGTCACACTGGCTATCACCATGAGCTATGAGTCCCATACATCCTCATAGCATAAAATAACACTATCATCTGGTAAGACAGAAAAGCGCCAACAAATTGAAAGGGAACTTACTGCAGTGGACCTGATGGGATGGGGAACTAACTCAGGTGTGGTAAGCATGGTTCTGGGTGATACCAGGACTGAGATTTGTGGAGAGATATGAATGCCTATGCCATCTGACAAGACACATGATGTTTAGGCAGGGTTAAGCCTAGAGCCAGTACAAGGCTTCTGAAGAGACTGGGAATGACAAGAGAGTTGTTGACACACAAAAAAGGACAACTGAAGTATTTTGATCACATTAAAAATGAAAAATACAACATCGAAGTAAATGGGACAAACCTCAAGCAGGTCGATATGTTTAAGTACTTGGATATCCTGATAACATCAGATGGAAGATGTGTTTAAGAAGTTAAATGTAGACTAACTCAAGCAGAAGCAGTATTTATACAAATGAAAAATATTTTCTGCAATATCTCTTTGTCAGTTGAGACGAGAAAGAGAATTCTTAAAAGCCTTATAAATCTTATCTTGATGTACGGAAGTGAATCATGGACAGTTGGTAAATCAGTGAGAAATTATTTGGAAGCTGTGGAGATGTGGTTTTTATAGACGAATGATTAGAATACCCTGGACAGATCAACAGAGCAATAAAGATGTCTGGAAAAAAACTGGCTCATGAAGAAAACTGATTGCTTACATCAGAAAGAGACAATCTACATTCTTTGGTGATGCGATGAGAATGAGAAAACTGGAGTATGTTGTGACAGCAGAAAAGTTGGAGGGGGAGGAGAGGCAGGAGGAAACCGAGAGAAAACATGCTGGACAGTTTGACATCATGATATGGAGGATCATCTGTGTCAGATTTGACTGAAAGTACATGAGGCAAAATGTTGTGGATAGACAGGACTACCAACGCAACACTGCATGGACTTTAAGAGGAGGAAGAAAAAAAAAGAATGATGCAACAGTCTTAAAAAACATACAAGATGGAAAGGTTGAAGGCAAGGGTGGGGTGCAAGAAATAAATAATGATGCATAGGGTGGGACAACATCAAGAGATGGATGGATGGTATTCTAAGAAAATGTACTAGCAAGAGACAGAGAATGTTTGAATGTGGAATTTGGAGATCTGTTACAACCAGCCTTCGTTGCGGAGTCTACTTGATCAGTTAAATCTTAGAGCCATATTTGTCTGGAAAAAGAAATATTGTTATTACTGAGAATTGAACCCAAGCCATCCACAAAATACTGAAAGTGTGCTTGACTTTCTGTCTACATGCAGTAGAGAGATCCTAGGTCTGGCCAGTTCGCTTTTTGGTGAAAACTAAGCTGTATGGATCAGTGTAGGACATGCTTCAGCTTCACATCGCAAACTTCATAGAGGCCTGGGGCATTCCCATCTCAAAACCACGTTAGGAAGAATGAAAAGAAGAACCAAGCCATACTAAGGAAAGTGTGCGCACAAACTACTGACCTCCATGAGCTAGTCTTTTTCTGCTGCAACTCATTATCCCTGAATAAAGCTTGTGCCCTCAAAAAACTCACACCAGTGTTGCCACTTTTCTTTGACAAAAAAACATCCAAAATGGAGTCAAAAAATATCTTAAAACATCTAAATGTGCGTGGAAAACATCTTGAAAAAACATCCAAATGGAAAGAGTCACAAATTACATAGCAGTAATATGACTTACCCTACAGAATCATGTCCTCATCTTTACTGAAGTCTGCCTCACAAGATGCACAGGATAAACTTAACTTGGATGATGAAGTTGAAGCTTCAGATTCAAAATGACTCTGGTAGGCTTTAGCTGTTCCAATTTCTTTTAATACCCAATCAGGGAGCTGATTAGTGGAACAGTATTTTCCTACTCTTATCAGGCCGATTTTTATTTTCAAGGTTGCATTTAAGAGGTCAAATTTATTCTGCTTCTTATGTTAGATTTGATAAATTCACTCCAAATGAAAAACATCTACCATCTAAATGTCAAAAATGCCAGCTAAATGCAAGGGAAAACATCTAAATCTGGATGTAAAACATCTAAAGTGACAACACTGACTCACACTCCCCGTGTGGGTTCCGGGGCCCCACTGAAGGGAAAACAAGAATAGACCCACTGCCTTCCCAGCAAGCATGTCGTAGGAATTGGGGGTCTCCATCAAAGTTGAAGTGCATCTGCCTGAGAAGCAAGGAACCAACAGTCTGCATACAAATAACTCAGATCTGTAAACGGATGTGCATGCAATACTCAAATTATGAAGTAAGTCTAAAGTCCAGAGGTGGATGAACAACCAGAACTTTCCACCTGAGTTTACAGCTGGTGAATGTGAAGAAGAAGAAACAACTTACACCAAGCCATTCTTTCTTGTGCTATCACGAGTAGCTCACCCCAGGTCCTCCCAATTGTTCAACTTGAAATATTTTTTTTCACCATGTATTTTTTGTATCTGCCTTTATTTCTTGTGACCCTACCATTTAATGTTGAGACTTAGTTCACTTTTAATTTAATCACTGAATTTATTCCCTTTGTGGCTAGACCATCACCAGAATAAGAAAACAATTTTCATTGTGTCCGCGTTTTAGTGTTTTGATTCGTTAAACATTTTTTTTAAAAATGTGTTATTTTATTTTGCCAACTTTCAGGGGACGTCAGTGGCATGCCATCACTAACGGCAACAACAACCATGGCTACCACAGCACCAGCATTTTTGTTTTCAACAGAAGGATTGAAGTCTAATGATGAACATTTGTGTCATTTTTTTCTCATGAATGATGCGGGATATATCAAGACCGATGAAACAGTTCTTGAATGTTTAACAACTACTGGTAAAGCTACGTGGCAGATTTATTACCCAAGTATTGATAGTATTCATTTTAAATGTCAGATTATGTTTGAAAAGTGCAGTGTGCCTTATCCTGACAAGTTGACTATCTATGATGGCTATTTGAATGAGGCCAGCATACTAGGGGAGTATTCTGAAGGGTTGTGTCCTAATTATTTGATATCTACGACCAATTCACTTGTCTTGGAGTATTCTAGGAAGGATGCTGCAACTTTGCCAAGTTTGAAATTGCTGTTTATGAAAAGTAAGTTGAAAATAAGTCTGTACAGTTTTTGTTATGAATTATATTTTTCTGTTATTTTCATTGTTTAAGATAAGAATGGAAACTACATCTTATATCTTTCATAAATGGTGGGAAATCTATCTTATTCTTCTTCTTCTTCTTCACTTCCTCTTTTACCGCTGTGGGTGTCGAGGGAGAAATAAGGTTCTGTTTCTAGCTCTTCTGGCCGCCTCGACCATAGGCACATCGTGCTGTTGTAGAGTTTCTCTGATGTTATCCTTCCATCTTGTTCTTGGTCTACCTCGTGCTCTACGTCCTTCTATCTTATTCGGTCATAATAAATTGACATGGCTGATCTGAACAGAGATGTGCATGAGCTTCATCTTTCTGTTTCACCAACATGTTAATTTTAGTTAGTTGGTGGAGTTTCAAACCTCTATGCATACAGGTCACCCCATAACAGCTCTGCTTCTGTGCCATGGAAATCATACAAAATGTCCGCTGTCCCATTTGAAAAAAACTAGTGAAAAAACATAAGTCCCAGGAAAATCTTGAAGCTTGCACATGCAAATTACGTGCATAAGGCAGCTGTCAGATGTGCCATCACTAACAGTCTCTTACCAGAATTGCAGCTCTCTGTTGATGCTAGCAGTCAATCATGAAAGTGACATTAGGTACACAGTACTGTTTCTTTTCACACTGTTCTGAAAGTTATAATGTTTCCTTTCACACTGTTCTGAAAGTTATACTGTTTCCTTTCACACTGTTCTGAAAGTTATAATGTTTCCTTTCACACTGTTCTGAAAGTTATACTGTTTCCTTTCACACTATTCTGAAAGTTATACTGTTTTCTTTCACACTGTTCTGAAAGTTATACTGTTTTCTTTCACACTGTTATGAAAGTTATACTGTTTCCTTTCACACTATTCTGAAAGTTATACTGTTTCCTTTCACACTATTCTGAAAGTTATACTGTTTCCTTTCACACTGTTCTGAAAGTTATACTGTTTCCTTTCACACTGTTCTGAAAGTTATACTGTTTCCTTTCACACTGTTCTGAAAGTTATACTGTTTCCTTTCACACTGTTCTGAAAGTTATACTGTTTCCTTTCACACTGTTCTGAAAGTTATACTGTTTCCTTTCACACTATTCTGAAAGTTATACTGTTTCCTTTCACACTGTTCTGAAAGTTATAATGTTTCCTTTCACACTGTTCTGAAAGTTATACTGTTTCCTTTCACACTGTTCTGAAAGTTATACTGTTTCCTTTCACACTATTCTGAAAGTTATACTGTTTCCTTTCACACTATTCTGAAAGTTATACTGTTTCCTTTCACACTGTTCTGAAAGTTATAATGTTTTCTTTCACACTGTTCTGAAAGTTATAGTGTTTTCTTTCACACTATTCTGAAAGTTATCAGCCATTCACCATTTGTATTGTAGTTCACACCACAAAACCCCTCAGGCACAACAGAAAAAACCCATTCCTAATGAGATCCACAGTTCAGTGTCACACCAAGCACTCAGTTCAGTAGCTGGGTGAAGAGGTTAATGTAAAAAAGTGAAGGCTTTTTTTTTTCATGCTATTGGTGCTAGATTGATATATTTATGGATCAATCAATGAGCACTCAGCGAATGATGCAATCAGCATCAGGTGATCCGCCTGTTCTTCCGGGGACATTTCTTGGTACCCATTATAGGCCTGGTGTGGACGCGGGATGCCAGGTCAAATATATACAACAGCCTCAGTGCAGATTTCTTCTTCTCCTACATCTTAGCATTCATTGGCTACAGACTTTCTCCTACATCTTAGCATTCATTGGCTACAGACTTTCTCCTACATCTTAGCATTCATTGGCTACAGACTTTCTCCTACATCTTAGCATTCATTAGCTACAGACTTCGGCAGAAAGTTCTGGTTGTTTTCCCACTTCTGGACATTGCTCTCTTGTTCCAAAACTTAGTTTTTTTTTTTTAAATGCACATCTATTTTACAGATCGGGCTTATTTGCATGCAGACTGTTGGTTCTTTGCCTCACAAGCAGATGCACTTTGACTTCAAAGGGTGCACCCCTAAGTAGTAACCTTGTATGACATGTTTGTAGGGGTTAGAGTGGGAAGGGGGTGGGATCATCAGGTCTGTTCTTATTTCCCAAAAAATCGGACCTTAGAACCCACATACAGATATAACCGAGTAAATATTTACTTGATGGGTGATATGGTCAGTGTCACACTTGCTGCCTTTGTTTCCCAAAACATTTCATGGCCAGCTTTGAGAAATCTATGTTTGAGAATTTAAACTGATAAAACCTAAGACCTCTGGGCAACAAATGCCTGTAGAAGTTGGATGTGTCGGCTGGAAAGGCAAAAATCTCACTGCCATGTTGTAAACAGGCACAATGCATTTACATCTTCAGGTGAGCACAGAAGAAGGAAGAAGAAGAAGAAGAAGAAGAAGAAGAAGAAGAAGAAGAAGAAGAAGAAGAAGAAGAAGAAGAAGAAGAAGAAAAAGAAAAAGGAGAAGAAGAAGAAGAAGAAAAAGAAGAAGAAGAAAAATAAGAAGAAGAAGGAGAAGAAGAAGAAGAAGAAGCCCATTGACAGTGTGTTAGCTGCTTTGCTATCGCTTCTCCTATTTGTTGCTTGGGTAACAGAAACAAAAATGTAATCTACTGTGGGTTTCAAGGCCTTGGGGGGGGGGGGGGGGGGGGGGGGGGGGGGGAGAATGCACACAGCCTGCCAACTGCTGCATTAAAGGTGAATGCAGAAGAACTAGCAGTTTGGCTAATTTAAAAAAATAAACTGTGGGCTGCTACTTGAGTTTGACCCACCTCTGCAAGAGTTTATTCCTTGATGGCAAACTATCTGAGCAGTTTCCAAATACCCCATTCTATTGTGAAGTTACAGTTAGGGCACATATAATAGCCACACTAGAGGGTGCTAAAATGTTACATAAAACTTGTTCTACTGTATGGCAGCTAATCTTGAAATGTCAGTAAACAAATTAGGAAACATTTTGAAGCAACAGAGATTTGGTTTCTAAGATGACAGTTACGAATACCTTGGATGGCCAGAGTACGATTGCTTGAAAGAAGCTAATCTTCTTCTTCTTCTTCGCGTTCACCAGCTGTACACTCTGGCGGAAAGTTCTGGCTGCTCGTCCACTACTGAACTGCAGTCCTGCTCCGGAACCTGAGTGTTGCGGATGCATCAGTTTTACAGATCTCATTCTCTTGAATACAGACTGTTGGTTCCTTGCCTCTCCGGCAGATGCACTCCGACTTCAAAGGAAGCTCCCCAATTAGTCGACTCTTACGACATGCTTCTGGGGAGGCAGTGGGTCTATTCTTGTTTTCCCCACAATGGGGCCCCGGAACCCACACTGGGGAAGAAGTTAATGAAAGTAGATATATATATACAACACTAAGAAAGAGACAAACACTGTTCTTTGGTCACATAATGAGAAGAGAGACTTTGGAGAACATCATGACAACTGGAAAGATCAGTGGGGGGAAAAAGGGTAAAGCAGACCAGGAGAGATGATGCTGGATGGGCTGAAACAATGGCATGACAGGATATCATCAAGAGAGCCATTACAGGCAACCAGGGATTGTGACCTGTGGAGACGCATGAGCCCCTACGCCAGCTGGCAGGGCACATGATGATGATGATAATAGCCACACACTGTTCTGTCATGATGTTGTACCCTGCAGTTCTGGGTAGCTAAATATGGGAAACAAAATATTTTGGTTAAAAGCAGTAAAATTGTAAACACAGGTGGTTAAAAACCAGACGAGGTCACACAACAAACCAGAAAAAAAACAATTAGTAACCATGGAAATGAAATGTCTGAGACTTCTGGTTTCCTGACAACTAAACAAGTGACACATCTATCAGCTCCCTGTGTAGGTTCCAGAGCCTCATTGTGGGTTAAAAACAAGAATAGACCCACTGTCTACCCAAAAGCATGTTGACTAAAAGTCGACTAATTGGAAGCTTCCTTTGAAGTCAAAGTGCGTCTGCCTGAGAGGCAAGGAACCAACAGTCTGCATTCAAGTGAATCAGATCTGTAAAACTGATGCACACGCAACACTCAGGTTCTGAAGCAGGACTGCAGTTCACAAGTGGATGAACAACCAGAATTTTCCGCCAGAGTGTTTGACTGGTGAATGGGAAGAAGAAGAAGAAATGTCTGAGAAAGACTGCCAGAGTTAATAGAAGAGGGGGGAAAAAAGGCATACCCAAAGTAGGCGTTGAGTTGAGTCAAGAATTGAAATCACAGCACTCGGGGCATTCCCATGCATGCTCCGTCCTCATCTCTAGCAGCCAGTGCAGAGTTCCACTGTTACGGTACCTGTCACAATCTGGTTATATGTCCGTCGTGCCTTTCCTCTGAGTGTAGTGAGCTGGTCAGACCCTCAGGTTACACCCAAGTACCTCATTCTCACCAGGCCTTAATAATCTTGTTTCTCTACTGATTCCATTCCAAAGTAGGAAAGGATACATTAATACAAGGTGAATCAATTTAAAGAGGGAAAGATATCTGAAAAACAACAACAGATGATTTGTCCGTGGTCAAGGCGGTCCAGATAGAAAGAATCGGCACCTTATTTCTCCATCTACACCCAAAACATTAAAAGAGGGAAGAAGAAGAAGAAAAAGAAACTGTTATATAAATATTATTTTTATTTTTTAGCAATGTAAAATAATGTTTGTGTGTACTGTCTTCCCTTCCGCAGTTAAGGCTAACGTTGATGACAGAATTTCTACTTACGACACCACAAAGACAAGTCAGTATGGAACCACAAGCACACCCTCGTACAGATACATTCCATCACAAAATCCTTTCGGCCATTACTCCAACGAATGTGCCTTTCGTCTCAGCAATGATTCAGGGGAGATAAATAGTGCTGATATTGCCGCTGTGGTTCAGAGATCAGGTTTCTGTACCTGGCTTTTGAATTTTGACGCAACAGATGGCCAGATTGTGACCTATACTCTAAACTTTGAAAAGTTTCATCTTTCTGCCGAAAGCACATTTGTTGTTTATGATGGTTTTGATATGACAGCGCCAGTGCTTGGCAGTTATTTGCCCTTGGCACCACATCTGTCTCTCCTGTCATCGCAGAGTAGTGTATTTATATATTTTAATCCTGGGATCAACGTGAACTTTGTGGGAGTGAAGGATGTCTTTTCAGTCAAGTTTCAAGCCAATAGTGAGTAGACACCTAATATTAGAGACACATTTTTTGTTTGTCTTCATTCTCATCATCATTTTCATCATCAACAGCATCAACAGCATCATCGTCACCATTATTTTGTCATAATCATCATCTTCTAGGTCAGAGCTATTGAACTGAATTTATTCAGGGCCAAAATGTTGAAAAATGGGGATGGTCATAGGGCAGGGGACCCAGCCTCGGCGTAGAAAGATTATTAATTAATAAAATATCAGTCGTCCCCATGATCTCTTGGGAAGTGAGATAAGATGCTACACCTTCTTGGAAAATGGTGGTCATATGTGTAGGTTGCGTACATTAACTCATTCAGAGGTCTACATGGTGAAGTAGTTAAACCAGTTGACTCATGCTCTGGAGGTTGTAGGGTCAGTTTCACACTCCATCTTTCGCTTTGCAAGTGCATTTGTTTTGTAGATCCCCTGGGGTCATTGCTAGAGCTGTAAAGTTTGTGCTGTATGCTTAATCTTGTGGGTGACCAACAACTCATGTCCAACGAACATCGTTAACTTATTGAATATCAAACACCCCAGTGTAAGTTTATTGGCTTCTCTCATTCAGTTGTTACAAATAACTCACTCTAACCTGATTGTTACATTACTCCTTTTGCCCAGTAGTGTTATTTGAACTCAAGATGCAGAATTTAGTAATTATAAAATGGAGGAGAATAATCAAAGAGCACACTAGTGCAACAAGTTATCCACCATATTAGTAAGATTGTATAATTATTTATAGTACTGTATAATTATTTATAGTACAATTTCTATTATAACCACAATCCAAATCAAAGCAAAATGTGGAACTTAAAAAAATTACGTATTAATTATACAAATAATTACGTGATTTATAAAATTTAAAAAAATATATCCCAATCATCTCTGAGGGTTGAACAGGTTATTTTTGAAAAATGACTAGTACTAAATTTATTTATTAGCAACTTATTTGTTTATAAATATAACTAGTTTTAGTAGCAGTATTCTCTGAAAAAATTAGGATTCTATGCAGGTTGAGTAGGCTGCCTTTGAAAAGAATAATCACAGTGAACAAAAATGACCCACTTCTGGTTATGTTTTTATTTCTCATAAACTGAAATATTATATGGCTGAAATTCAGCCATATAATATGTCAGAATGGTGTTTAAAGAAGAGTAAGAGAGAGAAAATTGTTCCTGGAAAAACGGACAGGGGAAGACCAATATGATGAAAAGTATCAAGGCATCCAGAGCATAAAAGTTCATGAGGTGGAAAAGTTGACAGGGGAGCAGGGGGCTTTCCGGTCTGCCATGATGATAACAAAGGTCACTTGCGCATCCTTTACAGGACTTTGCATAACCAACCCCAACAGCCCCTGGCTGTTGTGTGGTTTTTCTAGGCAAATTTACGTCCAGTAGTTTGCCATTGCTTTCTGGACGGTCGGCTTTCTTGATACCACTGTCAAAACCAACGCAAGGCGCATGGCCCGCAGCTGGGATCGAACCCAGCATTACGAAGCGTTCGCATCGACTTAGCCACAGAGCCGACTATGATGACAACAGTCTTTGATAGATGACCTGCCACGTGATGATAAAGCACTGAGCCCAACAGCCACAGCCTGATCTTAGTCGTTAATCGTTCTAACTTTACATGCGCCAACTTATAATTACTGCATTTATTTGCCAGTGGAAAAAAAAATACAAAATGCCCTTCATGGTCCTATTTGAAAACTAGTAGAAGAAATCAGTCCCAACAAAATCCTGAAGCATGCACATGCAATAAGTGACTAAGGCAGCTGCCATGATTAATAGTAACTCATTTTATTTCTGTTTCCAGTTCAGTGTTCAGAGGATTACTTGCCTTGTGGATATGAAGAGCTGGCATGTTACAGAAACAATCAGCGCTGTGATAACATTTGGGATTGCCCACTCCATGGAGGAGATGAAAGAGGGTGTTTTAGTGAGTATACCAAATTGGTTCAACACAAAGAGTTGTAAGTAAAAATCAAGGACCCTTTCCACACCGGGCATATGTGGCTAGACCTAATTTTTTATAGACAAATGGACACTCAATGGGTGATGTGATCACCATCACACCAGCCACCTTTGCTTCCCAGGACTTTACCTGATACCCATTTTAGGCTGAAATAACTTAGGAACCAAACTTGAGTTTTGATAAGTTGACTAAACAGTAAATAATGTTCTTTGACAGTTGACTAAACAGTAAATAATGTTCTTTGACAGTTGACTAAACAGTGAATAATGTTCTTTGACAGTTGACTCAACAGTAAATAATGTTCTTTGACAGTTGACTCAACAGTAAATAATGTTCTTTCTTGTTTTCATACTTGACTAAACAGTAAATAATGTTCTTTGACAGTTGACTAACAGTAAAAAACATTTATCTTGGACTCTATGTGACTTTGAAACAACCCAAATAGTGTTCTTTGACAGTTGACTAAGTAGTACCCAGTGTTTCCCCAACAAGTTAGCTAAGGAGTCAAACTAATGTTCTTTGACAGTTGACTAAACAGTAAATAATGTGTTAGGTAAGGAAACAACAGTGACATCACAGTAAATAATGTTCTTTGACAGATTGACTCAACAGTCAAATAATTTTTTTGACAGTTGACTTCAACAGTAAATAATGTTCTTTGACAGTTGACTCAACAGTAAATATTTTCGGTTGACAATAATGTTCTTTGACAGTTGACTCCCTTGGCAGTTGGAAATCGAAAAGTAAATAATGTTCTTTGACAGTTGACTAAACAGTAAATAATGTTCTTTGACAGTTGACTAAACAGTAAATAATGTTCTTTGACGTTGCTACAGAGTTTAAACAGTAAATAATGTTCTTTGACAGTTGACTCAACAGTAAATAATGTTCTTTGACAGTTGACCCCCATGTAAATGGTGTTTTGATCCACAGTAAATAAATGTTCTAAACAGTTGACTCAACAGTAAATAATGTTCTTTGACAGTTGACTAAACAGTAAATAATGTTCTTTGACAGTTGACTCAACAGTAAATAATGTTCTTTGACAGTTGACTCAACAGTAAATAATGTTCTTTGACAGTTGACTAAACAGTAAATAATGTTTTTTGACAGTTGACTAAACAGTAAATAATGTTCTTTGACAGTTGACTAAACAGTAAATAATGTTCTTTGACAGTTGACTAAACAGTAAATAATGTTCTTTGACAGTTGACTAAACAGTAAATAATGTTCTTTGACAGTTGACTAAACAGTAAATAATGTTCCTTTGACAGTTGACTAAACAGTAAATAATGTTCTTTGACAGTTGACTAAACAGTAAATAATGTTCTTTGACAGTTGACTAAACAGTAAATAATGTTCTTTGACAGTTGACTAAACAGTAAATAATGTTCTTTGACAGTTGACTAAACAGTAAATAATGTTCTTTGACTTGAAAAACAGTAAATAATTTTCTTTGACAGTTGACTAAACAGTAAATAATGTTCTTTGACAGTTGAATGCCCACAGGAATTTAGCTGTGGCTTCACTACCTCAGCCTGCTACAGTGAGAATGAAAGATGTAATGGGAAGGCTTTTTGTCAAAACAGTATGGATGAGCTGAACTGCAGTAAGTAATATTGACATTATTATTATTATTATTATTATCCTGTTGAGCCATTTCTATGTACATCATAGAGAGCTGCCAGCTTATTCCTACACTGTGCTGCTGGGAAGTGAGCAGGCAGACAGATTGGCTGGTACTGCACCAATGGGTGGTGACGCAGGACAAGCTGAGTGTGGTCGTGGCCCTTTGGGAGCAAGTGAACAATAGATTATCATGATCTACAGAGAATGGTACAGCTAGGAGTGACCATGGAATCTGGTCAGCGCTCTAAACTCAGAGGAAAGGCAAGAAGGACATATAATCAAAATGCTATTGGCACTATCGCAATTGGAACTCTTTACTGGTTGCTGGTGATATCTTAGTGACTACTGTAGATAAGTGATATTTTGGAGACTACACTGTAGATGAGGTGATATTTATTTTGGTAACTAAACTGTAGTTGGGTTATATTTTGGTGACTATTGTAGGCATGGGTGATATTTTAGAGACTACACTAGATATGTGACATTTTGGAGACTGCACTGTAGATGAGTGATATTTTGGAGACTGCTGTGGGCATGGGTGATATTTTGGAGACTGCTGTAGGCACGGGTGATATTTTGGAGACTGCTGAAGGCACGGGGGATATTTTGGGAGACTACTGTAGGCATGAAGGGAGACACACCCAAAACTGTAGGCAGGGATATATTTTGGAAACACTGTAGGCAGGTGATTTTTTGGAGACTACACTGTGAATGGGAATATGTTTAAATTACAGTGTAGGCAAATATTTTGGATATTTTGTAGTTTAAACTACAGTTTAGACAAAGGTGATATTTATTTTTTTAAACTACACTGTAGACAAAGGGATATTTTTGTTTAAACTAGACAGTGTAGATAAAGGTGACTACACTGTAGACAAACTGATATTTGTAGACAACAGTAGTGATATTTTTTGTTTAAACACTACACAGTGATATTTTGGAGACAACAGGTAGATATTTTTGTTTAAACTACAGTGTAGACAAAGGTGATATTTTTGTTTAAACTACAGTGTAGACAAAGGTGATATTTTTGTTTAAACTACAGTGTAGACAAAGGTGATATTTTTGTTTAAACTACAGTGTAGACAAAGGTGATATTTGGAGATACTGTGTTGGGTGTTTTTTTTGGAGACTACACTGTAGACAGGGGTGATATTTTGGAGACTACTGTAGTCATGGGTGATATTTTGGAGACTACTGTTCTCATGGGTGATATTTTGGAGACTACACTGTAGGCAGGGATGATATTTTGGAGACTACTGTGGTCATGGGTGATATTTTGGAGACTACTGTTGTCATGGGTGATATTTTGGAGACTAATGTTGTCATGGGTGATATTTTGGAGACTACTATAAGCATGGGTGATATTTTCTAGACTACACTGTAGACAGGGATGTAAGACTAAGGTGAGGGATGATTTTGTTGGAGACCTACATGTGGTCAGTCAATAGGTGGAGACTACTGTGGTCATTGATATTTAAGAATACTGTTTGTCAGGGTATATTTTGGTGACTACTATAAGCATGTGATATTTTCTAAACTACACTGTAGACAAAGAGTGATATTTTTGTTTAAACTACAGTGTAGGAACAAAGGTGATATTTTTGTTTACACTGTACATGGGATGTGTTTTTGCAGATATATACTGTAAACAGGGATGATATTTTGTTTAAACTACACTAGACAAAGGTGATATTTTTAAGACTACTGTAGGCATAGGTGATATTATGGAGACTACACTGTGAATGGGAATATGTTTAAATTACATTGTAGGCAAAGGTGATATTTTAGAGACTATATTGGTTAATGATAATTTTTAAATACACTGGCGACAGAGGTGATATTTTTTTTCAAACTACAGTGTCGACAAAGGTGATATTTTGAAAACTCAACACTGTAAACAAGCAGAAAACATTGACTATCATTGCTCTCTAATCCTTTCTTAACATCCTGAATTTAAATGAAGTTCATGTTTATTTCTGCTGTTTGCTCATAGATAAGGCACTGTGTTCATTGGACAAAGGTCTGTTTCTGTGCAGAAATGGGCGCTGTATTTATGAAAATTTGCGATGTGATGACCTGAATGACTGTCTGGACAACAGCGATGAAGACAACTGTCCTGCTTGTAAGTGGTTCTTATGTCATTTAAAAACAACATTTGTCGAATCATCATCTCCTCTTGTACCTTGCGGTGTCAAGGTCAAGTAAAATTTGCGTGGAAATTGCCAGTTTTTGCGCTTTATAAGTGGGAATTCCCAGAGACTTTGTTACTACTGCATGTATTTATTAATTTTATATGAAACAGCTATTCACCTACCTCCAAAATAAACTGTTAGAAATTACAATTAAGAGCCTTAATAATACATATAATCATTACTGTATAGTATACTTTCCTGCCAGCCTCATGTTAATAGGATCCAGTCCTCATTAGGTTAAATTGTTAAAATTCAACTTGATTTCCTGGCCGACTCAGCCAAAAATGGGCACCACAAAATCCATACCTTTAGGTATAATTGGGAGATTGTACTTCTGCTTCATTTTGGATTCCTTCAGTTACTTCATCCAAGTGTTTGAGGGTGGAAAGGAGGGGGGGGGGGGTTTGTAAGGATCTTTTATGTGCTATTTCCAGCATGTTGTATGAGTTAGTTTTCATTACACTAATGTCCCTGTGGGGGGCTGCATGGTCTCAAGGTATGGCATCCACCTCAAGTGCTGGAGGTCCAGGGTTCAAACCCTGGTGAAGGCTGGGATTTTTTCACCTGGATTTATAGAAATTTACCCCGGTCACTGGGTAGTCAGATCCAATTTGGATTTTAAAATCTACCCGAAGTAATTCAGGAACCTCGCCGGTGCTACGGGCTCAGACTCGAGTAAGAAGTAGAACAGAGCACTTATGGGTTACTACCCTTGTGTCATGATGTTGATCCGTTGTTTAAACCTAAACCTTTAACCTATGATATGATTTGTCCTCCACAGTTCTGACTAGACGAATTATTATTGCTGCTGTTGGTGCCTCCCTCGTCTGTGCCCTAATGGTGGTCATGTCCATGGGTTGTGTTTGTAAGGTGTACCGCATGCGTACCCGCCGTCTTCGTGAAAGCCAGCATTATGAGACTCCACTATCTCAGCATCTGTCAGAGATGCTTCGTCAACGAGCACCTCCTCCTCCTCCTTATCATGAAGCTATGCTGACCTCCCGACCTTACAGTGAGGCTGCTAACTTAGAATTGCTTGGTTACAGTGAGCAGCAGGAAGGGTCAGGCTTCACCAACCCGGGCTATCATGATGACATTGTCCCAGCAGTGCCCAGTGAGCAGACTCGACACATGACAACGGAAACACTGTAGAAAATCAGAATCTGGCTGAAACCCAAAATGTTTCGGTATTTAGAAATGTTTCTGGAACAATGATAGAAGTTGGCGCTTTGGCCTTATTTTCAGAAAGTGTCGAAAATTGTGGTCCATACCGGCACATCGGTGGTCATGATCTTCACACAGATGATAGTGAATTGCCTCCATATAGCGAGACAGATCCTTCAGGTCTCAGAGAATCATACCTCAATGTTTTAAGAGATGAAAGTTGCCATGACGACTCCTGGCAGAGAAGTTTTGAAAGCGAAGTTTACACGAGTAATAATTCACATGCCAGATCTGCTAGAGATTTGCTAATACAGATGGAGATGTTGCCATCAGATGGAGCTCAACTTTCAGCAAGTGCCCAGACAGCTTCTTCAGTGGCAGGCATCTCTGATGGTTTGAAGTCAGTTCCCGAGAGACACCACATGAAATTGGCTAATGATGGTAGCAGACACGCTGAAAGATCTACTAACTCAGGACTTTTTATTGATTCCAGCAGGGACAAAGAAGCGAAGGATACTGAAAATGAGGAGATGAGAGATGCTGTAGACGCCATTGATGTTGATTCGGATTCTGAATGTATTCTTGCTGAAGATCTTGCAAGTTATGATAGCTCTGAGTCGGATACTTGCATCCTTGCTCATGAATAATATACATATCACAGAGTATTTGATTCTCTCTCTCCCCCCCACCCATCTTTTGTGTCATTTTCATCTTTCTTCCTCTTTTGTCATCCTTCATCATTCCTCCTTTTTTTTTTTGGTTATCATAATCTTTCTTCCTCTTCTATTATCCTCATATTTCTTCCTTTTCTTCTTTTGTGAACCTCCTTCATTTTTGTCTTCTTCATTATCCTTCTATTCCTCTTTTTAAATCCTGTTTTTGCTTCCACTTTACTTAATTTCCCTTCTTTTCTCACTTCCCTCTTTTCTCTTCTCCTCTATCCTCTTTCTCTTATTCCTTTTTTGTGTGTTAAATTCTACTCCTTCTTTCTCTACACCCTTCTCCTCTTCCTTTCTGCACTTCATCATATTCCTTTTCTTTTTCCTTAAAGGTTAACAAAAGTGACAATGTTTCTCCACAACTTTCATTCTTTTAATACTGTTTATTCATTTATTTCCTTCATTTTTTTTGGTCTTAAAGTTGATTATCCAGCACTTATTCTCAAAGCTGTTCCCCCCTCCCTCCTCCACCCCCCGCCCTTTTTTTGTGTGGGTTAGTCTATGATTTCACATTTATTTACAGTCTGTCTTCTCTTGACATGTCTAAAGTGTTTGTTGACTATTGCCTTCTGATTGTCTGTGATAAAGTTTCCATATTGAGAATGTGAACCGAGGAAGTCTTAAGTGCCTGCATGTGTTGCAATACCATTAATTAAAACCAAAATGAAAAGACAAAAGAAATTTATCAGATATGATTAAAACTTTCAATATCTTATAAGACAAATGACAATGTTTGTTGACCAGATGACAATGTTTGTTGACCAGATGACAAAGTTTGTTGACCAGATGACAGTGTTTGTTGACCAGATGACAGTGTTTGTTGACCAGATGACAATGTTTGTTGACCAGATGACAGTGTTTGTTGGCCAGATGACAATGTTTTTTGACCAGACAATGTTTGTTGACCAGATGACAATGTTTGTTGACCAGATGACAATGTGTTTGTTGACCAGATGACAATGTTTGTTGACCAGATGACAGTGTTTGTTGACCAGATGACAATGTGTGTTGACCAGATGACAATGTTTGTTGACCAGATGACAATGTTTGTTGACCAGATGACAATGTTTGTTGACCAGATGACAGTGTTTGTTGACCAGATGACAGACATTTATAAATATTTTTTTTGCGTTTCACTTGAATTTGAGGCGTGTGTTGAATTTGAGGCTTTACAAAAAGTGGATGTGGCCCCAGGCTTCATCACAAAATATGGTCGGGGCTTTACAGATAGGCTGCAAGCAATGGTGGGGTGGTATCAAGAGTTGATAAGGACCACAGGAGTCTTCCACAATCACAAAGATGTATGGAAGCGTGGGGTCACCCCAGCAGTCTAAAGGGTACGGAATGTTGAATACGGTCAAATCACCACTAATTACTCACCACTAATTACTGGCTTCGTGAGGCTGATAGACTGCAAGCAATGGTTGGGGCGTATCAAGAATGGTTGATAACAGACAGAAACAAATGCTGAAACAAAAGAGTTGAATGAGAGTACATAACAAGAAAGAAGAAGGTCAATCACAGAGATGTATGGAGGCGGGTCATATTTGCAGCAATGAATCTAAAGGCCACGGAATGTTGAAGAAGAGGGCTTTTGATGTATTTATTATACATACACTTGGTGCCTACTGATTTTAAAAGTATGAAAGTAATGAAAAATTTAATTTAAAAAAACAATTGATTACGAAGGATAAGGTGTGAATACTTTTACAACCCCTGTTTTGATTTATTAATGTTTGAATATTTGTTTTAGAAACAGAACCAGTTGAGAAACATTTTTTTATGAAATTATAATCTTTTGAAATTATTTTGTTTTGGCTGTCTTTAATGAATTAGAGATTTAAAATCTGACTGTATGGAATAAGTTGGATTAGAGATTTAACATCTGACTCTATGGAAAGAAGTGGATTAGAAGTTTGATGTCTGCATGTAGGGAATTAATGATGAACAAATTAATGAATCAATCAAGAATTGACATGACTGCACTGGGGACATTCCCATACGTGCTCCATCCCCTTCTTCAGTAGCCAGTGAAGAGTTGCTATGCTAATAGTATTAGCTTGCAACCTGATAAAAGTCCACCTCTGTTTCCTTCAATGTTACAAATCTTTCAGAAATTCTACACACACCCACCCCCCTCCCCCCCCCCCCCCCTCTTCCCCCCCCCCCCCCCAGTTGAATAGTCTTTCAGAGTTTGGATTCCCCATCTGTTGTATTGCACTATTCATTTTATCAGTTTGATTAAATCAGAAGTTTGACGTCTGCTTTTGGTGTAGAACAGATTAGATATTTGATATCTAGCTCTAGTGGGCATAACCTGATTAGAGGTTTGTTAAGTGGCTGTCATAGACAGAATGGATTAGAGTTTTGGTATCTGGCTGTCATGTACAGAATGGATTAGAGTTTTGGTATCTAGCTGTCATGTACAGAATGGATTAGAGTTTTGGTATCTAGCTGTCATGGACAGAATGGATTAGAGTTTTGGTATCTGGCTGTCATGTACAGAATGGATTAGAGTTTTGGTATCTAGCTGTCATGGACAGAATGGATTAGAGTTTTGGTATCTGGCTGTCATGGACAGAATGGATTAGAGTTTTGGTATCTGGCTGTCATGGACAGAATGGATTAGAGTTTTGGTATCTAGCTGTCATGGACAGAATGGATTAGAGTTTTGGTATCTAGCTGTCATGTACAGAATGGATTAGAATTTTAGTATCTGGCTGTCATGGATAGAATGGATTAGAGTTTTGGTATCTAGCTGTCATGGACAGAATGGATTAGAATTTTAGTATCTGGTTGTCATGGACAGAATGGATTAAGAGTGTTGGTATCTGGCTGTCATGGATAGAATGGATTAGAGTTTTGGTATCTAGCTGTCATGGACAGAATGGATTAGAGTTTTGGTATCTAGCTGTCATGGACAGAATGGATTAGAGTTTTGGTATCTGGCTGTCATGGATAGAATGGATTAGAGTTTGGTATAGCTGTCATGGACAGAATGGATTAGAATTTTAGTATCTGGTTGAACAGAATGGAGAGATCATCTGGCTGTCATGGATAGAATTTAATGAGCATAAATGGATTAGAGTTTTTGTTATCTACCTTCAGATATCTGGTTTGTATCTGGCTTGTCATGGGTGGATGAATAGATTTGAGGGATAGAAAATAATGAGCATAAATGATTAGACCTTCGATATCTGGCTGTAATGGGTTGAATAGATTTGAGGTTGAAATAGAGCTTTAATATGGCAGTAACTGATTAGATGTTTGGTTATTCACCTCTAGAAGAAAGTGGAATGTTTGCAGATTCATACCAAAGACCTTGAGCTAACAGGTAAGTATGTAGCCGCTATGCCACCCCAGCTCACATAATTATTCATATTTTATTTGTTACACAAGAATTTTAAAAATAAAGTCTCCCCCCTCCCCCCTATCTTTTAATGTTGCACACAAAAATTTATAAACAACATGTCTCGTTATGATTTTCTAATGCTTCAGCATATTTCGCCAATTCACTCCTAGTATAGTTTTGTAAATTGAGCTTTCATGTTTCCTGGATCAGAAATGAATTATGTTGGAGCAAATATCCATATTTGAGTGTCGAATTGTTGAACTTATGATGACCATTATCTCGCATTACACCATGCAGAGCCAGGACCTACTAAAATTTGTAAGTGCACCTTATTCTGTGATGTTTGTACATACTGCGGTTTTATTCCCTGCCCATTTATTGGGCTGAAAAATATGTTTAAAATATATATTTATTGGTGTAATTATGTAAAATTGTGATTTATCTAAATTTTACTATTTTTTTTATGCAATGTAAATACTGTTGTTTTTAAGTAAGAATTTTGTATTGGTATTGAAGGTGATGATAAGACTTCTAAACGATATAAAGTGAACATAAATAAAAGACAACGTTTAGACTAATGGAAACATAGTAGCATAGCACTTATCATGATGGACTCAGAGCATTGTAGCACACTGCTGTCTTCTGCTGTCTTGAAAATCAGCTGTACACACATGCTGTTATTGTAACTGACACACAGAGCCTGCTGAGAAAGGTGGACAGGCATGCTTCGTGCAGAGTGGCAAGCATCACTTCAAAAGTCCCGGGTAGTTAGCATCCTTTGGATATTTTTTCCAGGTTATGCCGGTGTGTTGGGAAATGAGCAGGCAGATAGACTGGGCAATTCTGCAGCACTTGGTGGTGAACTGATGTATGACAAGATAGATGTTGTGATGGCGCTTTGGGAGCGAGTAAACAGT